CGCTGCTGGGACCACCTGTTCCGGGCGATCGTGGCGTTCCCGCCACGTTCCCAATCTCACGACCGCCTCTCTTCCGCCCACGATCGCACCTCTCCCTCCCCTTCCGCCTCTCGCCCCTCTCCCTCCGCCTTGTGTTCCCCGGGTTGCCGCGCCTTTTCGAGCCTGGATCACGGTGTTCCGCCCGCCCAGCCCGATTTGCGGCGTTCTTCCCGCCGGTATCCACGGTGCGTTTGCTTGGGTCATCTGGCCTTCCCTTGGCCGGCCCCAGGTAAAACCCCTCGCCCGTGTGGAGCTCCTGGTCTCCCGCTGCGGTATCTCTTGTGGTGCTTCCACTGGTACTTCTCGTGGTACTCTTATCGTGTTGTTACCCGTGGCCTCTGGCATGGGTTCCACCCTTCTGATGCCCGTGTCTCCCGCGTTCTCTTCTGTGTCCTGTGCTCCAGATGGAGGTGGACGCCCTTGCGCTTGTGGCGGCTGCCCTTGCAGAAGCCAGCCCAGGAGGGGTCCCGGGACGCCAGGTCCCAGCCCTGCTCCGGGCCGCCTCGGTGCTGGCTGGGCGCGGAGCTTCTTCCCGGCCTTCACGCGGGCGGCGTGGGCAGCAGCACCGTTCCCGCGAGGCTGTCTATCACTCCCCCCCTGGCCGCGCCCCTGGGTGCCTGCGTCCGCGGCAGCAGCAGACGTTCCGGCGCTCGCAGCGTCAGCCGCACCGACCTCCTCGGCCAGATCGACTTCGCGTACCTCCTCTGCAACTGCCGCAGCTGCAACCGCCAGTTCAGGTGGCCCCGCCACCGCCGCCGATCCCTCCGCCTGTCCCTGCTCCTCCCCCCGCCCGTGTTCTCCCGCTTGTCCCTGCACCTCCACCTCCGCCCGTGTCGTATGCGCAGGTAGTGCGACAGTCTCCATGGCAGCGGGCGAAAATGAGCCGACGCCAGCGCCAGCAACAGCGGCGATCTCAGGCGCCACCTCCACCTCCTCTCCAGTCCCCGGTTCAGCCGCCTCCCCCTCCGCTGGCCACACAGGCGCAGCTATCTCCAGTAGCGCCGGCGGACCAGGCACAGCCGTTGACGCCGCCGCCGCCGACCAGCTCTGCGCCGGCTCCCCTTCTTCCGCCACCGCCTCCTCAGTCCTCCGCCTTGACTGCTCCGCCAGCAGTGCCGGCGGGGTATCCGCAGTTGTTTCTTGGCGGCCGTCAAATTCCAATTCCGTGGGATGTGCTGGGGTACCCAGTGGCAGGAGAAGGCCCCGTTGTGCCGCCTGCACCAACCCTTGACGAGCGCTGGAGCCAGTGGGAGGAACGTTCACCTGCGGAGAGGCTGCTGCTCGTCGAGCAGCACGTAGTGACCGCAGGCTACTGCCTGAACCAGGTGGCAACGATCCTGGATCAGCTCCACGCGTGCCTGGCGCGCCGCAAGGTGAAGTGCCCGCCTCTAGCAGCGGGGGAGCGGGAGCTGGCCGCTGCTGCAGCGGACGAGGTGCTGGAGTCTCTCCCACAGTTGGGGCTGGATATGGGGTCTCCCGGGATTGCCGCTGGCCTTGGGCCAGCTGCCGCGAGGCGCCTGGCAGCGTGTGCTCAGCAGGGTCCATTCGGCTTGCTTCCGGCCGCGGCATCCGTGCTGCGCTGGTTGGACGTCCGGCTGGTGTGGCTCCTTGTAGAGTAGGCGTTGCGTCCCCTTTGCCAGCCTTGTTGTTGTTAGGCTTGGGCTTGGGCATCCCCATGGCGGTTAGTCCACGCCTGGGGGTGTTGCTGTTGGAGTAGGTTGCCGCTACTGCATGTTGTATTGCTTGCCGTTATAATCCTTGTTTCCCTCTACCCTTGTCACACCTCACGCGCGGCCGGAGGCCGCGCCGGCGAGCGACGGCCGCCGAAGGCGGCCGGCGCGAGCCGCCGGTTTTGGAGAGTAAACTGAACTCACCAGTGAAGAATGAGCTCAAAGGGGTGCCTCTAGAGGCTTTATACTAGGAAACTAGGCTGGAAAACGGCTAAGGACTAGAATCTACACTAGAGAGGGCTAAAACGGCTAAGGACTAGTCCTTGGCCATCTCTCTCTCTCTCTCTCTCTCTCTCTCTCTCTCTCGCTCTCTCTCGAGCGAGCCGCCGGTTTTGGAGAGTAAACTGAACTCACCAGTGAAGAATGAGCTCAAAGGGGTGCCTCTAGAGGCTTTTACTAGGAAACTAGGCTGGAAAACGGCTAATGACTAGAATCTACACTAGAGAGGGCTAAAACGGCTAAGGACTAGTCCTTGGCCATCTCTCTCTCTCTCTCTCTCTCTCTCTCTCTCTCTCTCTCTCTCTCTCTCTCTCTCTCTCTCTCTCTCTCTCTCTCTCTCTCTCAAGCAAGGCTAAGCATGCATGCAAGCAATCAGGTAGCTATTGTAGGGTTTAAGCGCTGTGCCGGCAAGGTAAGCAAACAAACCAAAGGCAAACAAGAGCAAACAAAAAAAGACAAACGAACGAACAAACAACAGACAAAAACCCCCGTCATCACATTCTTCCTGCCCTGGATCTACCTCCCGCCCTCTAAACCGCTCGTTCCTGTCAGAGGTCCACTGGAGATCCCCGATTGATCCTAGGGAAGGGTTACAGGCATGTTGGCCTGGGGGGTTATGGGCGCACTGACCCGCTACTTAATAAGCCCTTTTATCCCAATGGTCTAGTGGTTGGGATTCTGACATGCTATCAGAGCGAAGGTCTCGGGTTCGAATCCCAGTGTGTGCACTTCGGGCATCCCAGTGCGGGGGGGTGTCAGAGGTCCACTGGAGATCCCCGATAGATCCTAGGGAAGGGTTACAGGCATGTTGGCCTGGGGGGCTATGGGCGCACTGACCCGCTACTTAATAAGCCCTTTTATCCCAATGGTCTAGTGGTTGGGATTCTGACAGTTCCCCCCTCCATCTCATCCTCCAGCAGATGCCAAAGGTCCCCCAATCGTGGGGCCCATGGATCCACCAGTGCTTGGGGAAAGGCAGCCTCGGCTGCCCGGTTTGACTTGGAGAGGAGGGAGGTGGCCCGACTGCGCTGGAACATCACATACCACCTCTGTCTGTAGTTTGCTGTGAGGCGGGCTGCCGTGGTCGTTTGACGCCCCTGTCGGAACTGCTTCTTTGCCGCATAGGTGGTCCGCGCTACATCCCCACCATCAGCACAACACAGTAGGTGGTTCGGTAGGCTCTTGTCTGTGATTTCCGAGTTAGCTCGTTTGCAAGGGCAGGTGTCTGCAATTGGAAGAGTCATGCCGAGGCAGAAACCCAATGCCATGGAGAAATGACCGGGGGAAATTGAGAGGTCAGCCCTCGTATACTTTGGGGCCAAGCTGGCCCACAGCCCTACTGCTCCTACCTGTCCAAGTGGGAAGACTCACTCCCCATGCTGGAGTTCGCGTATAACAACGCACCTCCGCAACGACCAACCATTCACCTTTCTACCTCAACTATGGGATAGATCATGTGGTACCCTCGTCGACCACCCCCGACAATCCAGTATCACGTTCGCTGCAATTCGTCACCGAACTGCAAGCTGCCCGGGTTAAAGCAGCAAAAATTATCCGCAAGGCGAACACCGTCGGCAGCCGCAATGCTGATAGGTATCGAAGAGATTTATCAGTTAATGCCGGTCAGCTGGTACTTTTGGACACGAAGAACCTTCGTCTGCCCCAGGTGCCCCAGCTTCATTTGAGGTTCGTGGGACCATTTCGTATCATTAAAATGCTGATACCTGTCTCGGCGAAATTGTAATTATTCGATGACTGGCGTATACACGACGCATTCCAAGTCGGCCTGTTGCGACCATTCGTCGACCCTCGTCATCAGATATCGCACATGGCAGGCCCGACACTTCAGCCGTGGAAAATCCTGAATCATCGCGTGTGACTAACGACGACTTCCGATGGGCAGATCGCACCAGCGAGGACGACACGTGGGTTGCCTCTCATTCGCTTCAAGGACACTCGGTACTCCGGGGTTATCTCTCCCGCCTGCGTGTTCTGGATAATTGCCACATTTCTTAAAGAAGGGGGGAGGAGGAGGGGGAGGAGGTGGGTAGTGTAAGGAATTTCCATAATTTCTTACTGGGTCACACTGTATGCGTACAGGCCCAAATTTTGGAAGACCAGGCTCGGCCTGACGGCCTCGCTTCCCGAATTCCGATCGTACACTGCGTCACTTTCGGGTTTGACAACCTCGAACCAGCACCCAACCTCGCGATCCCAAGGACCCCGCCTAGCTAGCCCTTCGCTATATAATTTCTATGCTTCATTATTCAACTAGTAATTGTAATCACATTCTCGATATTGCATTCCGCGCAATCTCTTCTTTGACAACTCATAACAGTTCTATTCCTTTGTAACTCATAAGGCTTCTAAAGCTATGTAACATAGGACGGGACTGTAGCACCTCTGGCGAAACATGTGGTGTCCCTTGCTTGTTCGGATATCCATCAGCGAAGCGGGCCACTTCGTGACGAGTTACCCGTCTTCCACACTCCACCTCACCTGCTCAACCCTCGCCCCTCCCCTTGCCCCATCTGCTCTTCTTCCTCGTGACTGCTCCACCACCGCTGCGAGGCGTCTTCGTTGTTCTGCCTTTCATGTCGGACTCGGACTGGCGACCGAGAATCACGCAGCAGCCAATGCCGAGCACGACGTGCCACGCACTCCCGCAAATGACGAATAGCGAGCAATGCAAGCACGGCGAACCGAGAGCGTCCAACTGGAGAGTCTCTGAGTCACGCCTGGCCGTTAGCAGTCCGAAAAATGTCGCGCAACTGCCAATGCAGGTCTCATGGGAGCGGCGTTGGGTATTTAAAGACGCCCCGCCGCTGGATCCTATATCAACGCAACACATTGATCATAACGCCACGTTATTCACTGGCGCAGCCTCGGATTCCCTTGAACGTGACCCTTCGTGTTAGCCTATACATTGATTGAAGCACCCACGTTCTAAAGTTAACTGCTCGCCGAACGCTTTTCGACTCGTGCCGCCTCTCGACGGCATTCGCCATCACCATGGGGTCGGCCGCATTCACTCTCGCGCCTGCCCTTCGTCTCGCGCTCGTCGTGCTCCTCGTCTCCAGCGCGCTGCTCCTACCAGCCGAATCGGAATTGGTCGGAAAATCCGAAACTCCCAGGAAGCGCGTGTCCCTCACGCTCCCCGCCCACGCGCAACGCAGACAGCAGCAGCTGCGCGCCGCCACCGCCGTCGTTCGCGGCGGCCCCGGCGGGGCCAAGATCGTGTCAGCCGTCGGCTTTCCCCTCGTCCGTTCCTCCTCCGCATCTGACGGCGCCTCCGGCGGCGCCGGCACCGCCGCCGCCACGCCGGCCGGCAGCGCGCCAATCAAGTACCACGGCGGGCCGGTGATGGTGGGCAATCCGGCGGTGAACGTGTACCACATCTACTACGGCAGCTGGGGCGCGGGGTCGGGCAAGGACGTGATCGACACGTTCGTGCAGGCGCTGGGCAGCGACTCGGGCAGCCAGGGCAGCGCGGGGGACGCGAGCGTGAAGGCGTGGTGGGCCATCAGCGCCGCGTACTACCAGAACGATGCTGGCGGGAAGAAGAACGTGAGCTCCAAGGTGAGAACTGGCTGGCTGGACGTGTGAAGGCTTGAACTGGAAAGGACGACTGAAGGCAGGCCCGACGTGGAGCAAGCCACTCGCTCCCCGTGTCCTCGTCTATTCATCTGCGCCCTCATTCATTCCGCCTCGCACGCCCTGATTCATTCCGCCTCGCACGCCCTGATTCATTCCGCCTCGCATGCCCTCATTCATTCCGCCTCGCATGCCCTCATTCATTCCGCCTCGCATGCCCTCATTCATTCCGCCTCGCACGCCCTCATTCATTCCGCCTCGCACGCCCTCATCCGTTCACTCCCTCTTGTACGCCCTCTCGCTACGGTCTGCAGGTTCGGCTGGCGGGAACAGTGGTGGACAACTATTCACGCGGCAAGCAGCTGTCGGACGCAGACGTGCTCACCAGTATGTGCCGCCCCCCTCGCCACTCACTCTGCTCGCCCCCTCCGTGTGCTGCTTATTCCCACTGCACCTTGCATGCGTTGACTCAACCTGCTTGATATCACTCTCCCTTCAACTGCCCACACACTCCATTACATACCCACTCACCTTCTCACCCCCTCCCATCCGTCCTCCCCTCCCGGTGCCTCGACCCGCCCTCCTGCCGCGCATGCAGTTGTGAAGAGCAAGGTGGGGGGGGGCAAGCCGTTGCCTCTGGACGCACAGGGCATCTACGTGGTGCTGCCCAGCGCCGACGTCACGCTCCCCGGCTTCTGCTCCGAGTACTGCGGGTGGCACACGCAGGACTCGCTCAACTCCACGCCTCTGCGCTACGCCTTTGTGGGCCACCACGGGCAGTGCCCCGGCGATTGCGGGGTGAAGAGCACGTCACCCAACGGCAAGCCTGCCATCGATGCTATCATCTCCACGCTCGCGCACGAGCTCACCGAAGCTGCCACCGACCCGGACACGAATGCGGGGTGGTTTGACGCCGACGGCGAGGAGAACGCAGACAAGTGTGCATGGGACTTTGGCAACACCAAGACGGGATCCCTGCAGAACGGGCAGAGCTACGAGTACAATGTGGTGGGGCTGAATGGGATGAAGTTCCTGGTGCAGCTCAACTGGGACCGCGTCAAGAGCAAGTGCGTCCTGCAGAACGCCCTGCCCGCTGACAGCAGCGGCGGCGGGGGCACTCCCTCCCCTCCCCCCCCACCTCCCCCGACTGGAGGCCCGCCTCCCCCGACTGGAGGCAGCGTGAAGATGAAGTGTGACTGCAACTGTGCTAGTGCCAGCAACCCCATGAGCTGCCAGTGCTCCTGCACCAAGACAGGGTGACTTGTCCGGAGGAGGGGATCACCTATGGGGTGGGTGTTGGACTACCGGCTAATCAGAAACTCCCTGATGGCTGCTGGATTCATATTGTCTCCGGTGACAGTGGTGGACTGCTGCTGAAAGTATTTATTGCTGAACTTGCCTTCTTTCCACATCGTTTGCAAAGTGTTAAATGTCAAATGATATGCGGTACCATACATGCATGTTAGGTTTGTTAGGCTACAGTGAGGTACACTTTGGGAGGGTTGCATACTTGTATCCCATTGTTCCTAATGAACATCATCCCGCTGTTCACATTCTGAGATGGTACCATAGTAGGGTTTGCTCCTAGATCCTAGATCGCCTCCCTCGCAAGCTCCTAGGTCGTCCGCCAGCCAGCCAGCACGCCCCTGCCAGCCAACAGCCAGCCCGCTAGCACGCCGCAGGCCAGCCAGCGCGCTGCCTGCTAGTGCACCACCGCCAGCCAGCCCGCACAACGCGCGCAGCAAGCAACGCACAACACACGCGCGGCAGCTGCGCCCTGCCCACACGCACGCGCGCACGCGACGGTTGGCACGCACAGACGCGCACAGCACCCGCGCGCAGCCCGTGCGCAGCTCGCGCGTGCGCACAGCCGTGCATACCGCCATAGCAGCGCACACCGCCACAGCAGCGCACACCGCCACAGAAGCGCACACCGCCATAACAGCGCGCACTGCAATGCGCACCGCCCCAGCAGCCCGCGCCTAACTAGTGTGCTCCCCGCCAACCAGCCTGCGCCCGGCCCTTGCAACCGCAAGCCGCGAGCAGCGCCAGTAGCGTCAGCAGCACCAGCGCGGCACGCTTACCTACCCGCTAGCGCCTGCCTGCCGCCACACACCGTTCCTTTCGCCGGTGACACTCCCCGCAGCGGCTGGGCCGCACTCTCCTCTTACTGGCTTCGTTTAGGGTTTATGGCTCGATTGTTCCTAGACTACCGTTCCTAGCCAGCGGCTCCTAGCCTGCCGTTCCTAGCCTGGCGTCCCTATCCAACTGTTCCTAGCCAGCCGCTCCTAGCCAGCCGTTACTCGCCGGCCATTCCTAGCCTGCCGTCTCTAGTCCAGTTCTTGCGCCATGGCATCCTCTAGAATCATGCGCTTCGACGCAGAGGGTCGAGCAGAGTTTAGCACGTGGCTCCTCAGTGCCCAGCTGCAACCTTAGGAGCCAACGTCAGGATGGCGACACACTATTCACCCACACATCTGGTGACCTGCCCGCCCCTCCGCGTCCCATCCAACTTTCTACTGAACCCCCTGAGACGGAGTGGGAGACTTTTGCTCGGGGGCTCTTGGTGTACTCTGTCCGGGACTCCCGCGACTTCGCTGCTTGTCTCGCTCTCATTAACCTCCTTCCGCCGCCTGAGGAGCGTTTTGATGCTATCTTGTCTCGTTATTCCACTCCTTTCTCTACCTCCTTCGGCCACCTCCTCATGCCGTTCCTTTTCCCCGACCTTGGTGCGTTTGAGACGACAGATGACCTAGTCACTCATCTGCACTCCCTTGATGCTAGCTTCCGTGCTGGCACCCAGCTTGCCCCCCGTCTATGTTTGTCACCCTCTATTTTATAGTCACTCGTCTCCTTGACCGCCTCTCGTCTGCACGCGACGCTCTTCTTCGAAAGCACTCCGGTGAGCTTACTATCGACCTCCTTGAGACCACTCTCACTAACCTCTACTCTGTTGCATCTGCTATTGCCGCAGTAGTTCCCCTATCTCTTTGAGAGGTGTGCTGTGCTCCAGCTTCCCACCTTCACTACTTCTCTTGCTACTATTGAGTCATATGCTACTGAGGATACGTTGGCTGCTTTTGCCGCTGGTTGGTAGAAACGGGGCAAGGGAGGGAAGGGGTGGTGGCGGTGGAGGTAGCGGCGGTTGCAGAGGTACTGGTGCGTCAGGAGGAGGTGGCTCTGGGGGCGGGGTCGGTCCTACAAGTACGGTGTCTTTTGGTGCTGGCGCTGGGGGTGTGGCGGGGACACAGGCAGCAGCCACAACAGCCATAGCAGCCACAGCAGCAGCTGCCACAGCCGCAGCAACAGGTGCAGCAGTAGGGACAGCAGCAGCAGCACGCCCAGTGGTGAGGACCTCCACAGCGGTTGGGACCTCCGTATCACTGGGGACCTCAGCAGCAGTGGGGACCTGGTGGTCCGGGGAGCGCCAGCCGCAACAGCGGGCCTCCCTGCTGGGGACCTCGTCGCAGTGGACGTGACGTTGGCCAGTATCGATCCTGACGGGTCCGGGTGCAGGCACTACATGCGAGCGCCTCGACCACTCTGCTCTTCGCTGCTTCAGTCGCCTCGGCGACCTCTTTCAACAGAGCCAAAGACTTCAGTCGCCCCCCCCCCCCCCCCCCCCCCCGCGCTGGCAGGTTCTGATGAGTCGTGGCTACCGTCTATTTGAGGTGTCCATGGATGATGCTTATTCTGCCATGTATGTTCTTGTTAACTATAGTGCTGACAGGTATGTTTGCTCGGATATTTGCTTGTTGCTAGTGTAGGTGCATGTGTAGTTTCCAGCCCAGGTGTGACTTCTGCTGACGTGACTCTTTACTTCACGCTTGACTCCGGCGCGTCCCAGTGCCTTTTCCGCGACCACACCAATGTCACACCACTTTTGGCACCAATTTCATTTGCTTTAGCTGATCCGACCTCTAAACCAGCCGTTGCACGCAGTTCTACCACACTCCTGTGTCCTGTTCTCGTTCCGTTTCCTGCACGTGAGTGGTTTGCGACATGTACATACGCTTCCACTGGGGCACGTCTCCAGGGATCCTTCGTCAGGACTCTTCATACTGCACACTGCGTCCCTCCAGGTAGCTACGTTTGGTTAGGTTGCTGCGTCGTGCTCATGTTGGTCGCTCATTCGCCCCTGGCGCGGACAAGCTGACTACTTGCACGCGTCCCTGCGTCTTCCTCGGTTTCCCTCTAGACGCCACTGGCTGGGCGTTCTACGACCCGGCGACCTACCAGTTCTTCGCCTCTCAGGACGTCACTTTTGACGAGTCAGTCTGTTACTACAGGAGTCGCCCCCACCGAGGTACTGAGGACTTCTCTCCCCCCCAGCTCCTCACTGTCGTGGCCACCCCCCCCCCCCCCCCCCCCCCCCCCCCCACCCACTCCTTTAGTAGCCCCTCCCCCCTCGCATCCTGCTCCTTCAAGTGTGTCGCACGTTACACCAAAGTCGTCCCCCCTGCCGCTGTCACCGCAGCACCCAGTCCCTGTCGAGTCAAGGGTGCCGGAAGGTGTGGTGACGGCTCTGGGGGTGTGGGTGGTGCGCCTGCGGAGGCCCCTCCTGTGGAGGACACGGCTGCCTCGCGTCAGCGGTCCTGTCCCGCCTCACCCCCCAGCTTCCTGTCAGTTCCTCTCGTCTTCTGGAGAGGCGAAGCTCCGACCGTTGTTGGCGTAGGCCCGTGTTGCTCCGGCCCGCTGATCTTCGTAGAACCTGACGAGGGTGAGCCGCTCGTAGAAGTGCGATCTTATTGGTGTCCAGGTCCAGAATCAACCAACCCTTGTACTCATAGCTGATCCCGAGATGAACCCCCCAGCGCGCGCGATCGGTGAACTTGCCGAGGGTTGCAGAGGTGGGCCTGTACTGCACCATGCAGCCCCAGACCCTCAGCATGGAGGTTTCACCCTTGGTCCCGATCCACTTCACGTGAGGTGAGAGATTGCCTCTGTTTGCTGTGATGGAGAGGAGGTTGTGCAGTCGTGCGGTGTGATGCATGGCGTAAGGCCAGAACTTGTCCGGACTGCTTCAGCAGTGCGCGCACCTTTGTCATGAAAGTGTGGCTGATGCGCTCGGTGACGCCTTGCTGCTGGTGGGCGTAGGGGAGTGAGGTGTGGTGCAGTATCCCCTTCTCCGTGAGGAATTTTTGCATCTCGTTGCTGCGGAATTCTGTTGCGCCGTCTGTCTGCCATATCTTCAGCTTCTTTCCAGATTGTCGCTGAGCATGAGCCAGCCAGATGCGCAAGCGCGGGTATCCATGTTTGCCACCTAGACGTAGCGCGAGTTTGCTTCCACGAAGGTAAGGGTGTGTAAGGGTGTAGCTTTCGTCGTTGGTCCCTCCGTAGCCAACAACGAGGAAGTCGATGTAGACCTTGTGCAGCTTCGTGTAGTGGTTGGTGCTTAGATCGAGCGAGGGGTAAGCATGGTGCGAGAGGGCAGCTGTGGGGAAGACATTGCAGGTTTGGGGCTGTGAGGTGCTTCGCGGCTCTGAGTCGTCAGGCCGCAGTAGGGCGCCAGGAAGGAAGACCTTGGATGTGATGCAGTTATTGAAGGTTTGGCGTGAGGGGTGGCCGAGGTGCTGGTGCCAAAGGTCATCATCTGCGCGGACTTCAGGTGTGCGCAGGTAGCGAGCACGTGACGCGAGTGCTTCTTCTTCTGTCTCGGTCGGAATTGCCTGCGCCGTTTCTTATGCTTCTTCTCCTTCCTATTCTGTTTCTGCTTCTGTTTTCTCCTTCTGCTGGCAGAGTTGACGTCACCCGAGGAGATGGTGAGGAGCGGAGTGGTGGTGCCTTCAATGAATCCTCCGAGCGGATCTGGGCGAGAGGGGAGAGGTTTAAAGGTGTCAAGTTGCGGGGTTGACGACTCATTACCCCAGTCGATCCAGGTGTGGATGACTCGGCCTACGTAGGGTGAGAGAGGTGGTGATGGCAGATTTCGCGGACGTCGCCCGAGAGGAACTACAGTTGGAGATGGTTCTACATCTTCCTCTTCCCCCCTTAGTTCTTCTTGGGTAGAGGAGGGTTTGCGTAAGCGTCGTCAGTACCCCATCCTCCGCCAGTGCCCCGACCGCCACCGGTGCCCCAGTTACCTCCATCGCCAGTAGTTACTCCCCAGCCGCCTGTTGCAGATGCCCAACTTCCTGTATTTGCCTGGGCGTCAGTGGTGTTTAACGAGCCGCCTCCGCCCCATCCACAAGAGATCGATTTGCGTGCAGCTTCGGGGTCCCATCCTGCTGCGATTCGCTTTTGCACTTGTTCTTCCAGCT